AGGAGCCCCTAGTAGCGTCCTTCCTCCGAGTAGTAAGGCCAGGAGCCTCTAGTTTTCTTGTTACTAGAAGTACGGCCAGGCGCCCCTAGTAGCATCCTTGCCCCTAGTAGTAAGGCCAGGAGCCCCTAGTAGCTTGTTGTTACTAGAAGTACGGCCAGGAGCCCCTAGTAGCGTCCTTGCTCCTAGCAGTAAGGCCAGGAGCCCCTCGTAGCTTCTTGTTACTAGTAGTAAGGCCAGGCGCCCCCAGTAGCTTCTTCTTCCTAGGAGCAAGGCCAAGAGCCCCTAGTAGCCTCTTGTTCCTAAGAGTAAGGCCAGGAGCCCCTAGTAGCTTCTTGTTACCATCAGTAAGGCCGGGAGCCCCTAGTAGCTTCTTGTTCCTAGTAGTAAGGCCAGGAGCCCCTAGTAGCTTCTTGTTACTAGTAGTAAGGCCAGGAGCCCCGAGTAGCTTCTTGTCCCTAGTAGTAAGGCCAGGAGCCCCTAGTAGCTTCTTGTTCCTAGTAGTAAGGCCAGGAGCCCTTAGTAGCTTCTTGTTCCTAGTAGTAGTAATGCCAGGAGCCCCTAGTAGCTTCTTGTAGTACGGCCAGGGGCCCCTAGTAGCGAACCTTGTTACTAGTAGTAAGGCCAGGAGCCCCTAGTAGCGAACCTTGTTACTAGTAGTAAGGCCAGGAGCCCCTAGTAGCGAACTTTGGTACTAGTAGTAAGGCCAGGAGCCCCTAGTAGCGAACCTTGTTACTAGTAGTAAGGCCAGGAGCCCCCAGTAGCGAACATTGGTACTAGTAGTAAGGCCAGGAGCCCCTAGTAGCTTCTTGTTACTAGTAGTAAGGCCAGGAGCCCCTAGTAGCGAACCTTGTTACTAGTAGTATGGCCAGGAGCCCCTAGTAGCGAACTTGTTACTAGTAGTAAGGCCAGGAGCCCCTAGTAAGGCCAGGAGCCCCTAGTAGCTTCTTGTTCCTACTAGTAAGTAGCTTCTTGTTACTAGTAGTAAGGCCAGGAGCCCCTAGTAGCGAACCTTGTTACTGGTAGTAAGGCCAGAAGTGCCTAGTAGCGAACCTTGTTACTAGTAGTAAGGCCAGGAGCCCCTAGTAGCTTCTTACTAGTAGTGAGGCCAGGAGCCCCTAGTA